CAACTCTAGGGGGTTTTGCACATCTCAGTCTCTAAGAGCCAGTGCTGTCTGAAGGTATCTCCGTGGTCATGTGGCTGGCATGACTAAATGCTGAAGGCACATGGAACGCTGTTATCTTCCCACCAAAGGTGGTTCCTATTTTTCTACTTGCATTTTTATGTCCTTTTGAACTCACTTCGTTACGCGGCACTAGGGATTCGAACCACCAAACTGCCAGCCTTTTTGATCGACAAGCTCAGCGTCTTAGTCACGGAGCCACTGGTTCCCTATGTTTAAGAATTAAGCAATAGCAAAAATTTATCCAAAACCCAGCTAAGAAAATTGTAGAGGCTACATTTTTCCTACATGACCTAATAGTAATTCAAATCCTTATTTATATTTCTGTCTCTTCTCAGGGTTCTTCTGGACTGAAATGCAGGTTCTTGAAGGAATCGATGTTTTGCTGGCCCACCTTCTGAAGATTTTTCAAGGTGCAGAATATTGTCCTATAAGTTCCAGGAAAGTCCTTGATTTGCAATCCACAATCTTGTCTGATAACTTCACAAACAGACCAACCTTTGCTATTATCTCGGAATGAAAGTAATGCAGTCTGAATAAAAGTTAACCCTGGAACAGTAATTATCTTGACTCCCATAGTGGAAGGGCAGGCCAGTCGAATGCAAAGCTTCATTTACAAGGTCCTGAAAAACTGGGATTTGACAACGCGACAACCCACAGCAATTCCAGTGTGCGCTTTGTGGTTTTACTGAGTTTTTTTTCTCCCCATTAGGTTTCCTTCAGGATTACAGGCATGTAAATCTCTCAGCTGTGAAACAACAGCTGTAGTTGCATCAGTTTCACAAAGATTTCCAAGCAATTATTTCATTGCGCAATGGCCCTTAATTCCTTCCTGGGGATTTCGCAAAGCGGCTCAGATTTGGTCTTCCATTCCCAGGATTTTGCTTCCCGTGGAAAATTCATCCATGAGAGAAAAGGGGGATGAGTTGCAGATATCAAACAACAGTTCTTTGTTATGAAGGGAGGTCTGCCGCTTGCAACACAAAGCAGTGTGGCTTTGCCACAGCCTGTGACTAAGCAACGATTTGCTTAACCATGATTCTGAATGAACCATAGTTGGCCAGGTTCACCGAAAGCACTAAGCCATAAGCTGTAGCTTACAAGTGACCCAAGTTGTGGACACACAAGGGACAACTGCTTGTTTTAAATCAGAGGGGTTCAATTTTGACAATTATAACTAATTCTTGGGGGGGTTTCCCTTGCCACATAAACCTAGAAATATCCTTCTGCCATTGTTTAAACGGATGATCAGATGCAAGTATTGGTAACATCTGAAATAATAAAAAGCATCTTTGATAAAATAAAGCTAAAAGGTTCCCCTCGCACATATGTGCTAGTCATTCCTGACTCTAGGGGGCGGTGCTCATCTTTGTTTCAAAGCCAAAGAGCCAGCACTGTCCGAAGATGTCTCCGTGGTCATATGGCTGGCATGACTAAATGCAGAAGGTGCACAGAATGTTGTTACCTTCCCACCAAAGGTGGTCCCTACTTTTCAAGAATAGATTGGACAGCCACTTGTCTGAAATGGTTGAGGCTCTCCTGCTTGAGCAGAGGTTTGCACTAAAGACCTCCAAGATCCCTTCCATTGGTCTAGGCCAACCTCCCACCCAAGCAGGAGACCCTACAACATTTCTGATAAACGGCAGCCCAATCTTTTCAACATTTGTTGTCTTCCATTTATTTATTTTGAAACTTGCCGGGGGCCTCCCAAATCATTCAATTTTAAGACTTATGGACTTGAACTCCCAGAATTAACTGCCCACGTTGGCTGGGGAATTCTGGGAGTTAAACTCTACAAAAATTGGGCAGCCCTGCTTTAAATCAAAGCCAAGGAAATCGAACATTAGTCAACACAAACCTGTTACCCTAAGAGGCGACTGCTTTTAGCTGGTGAGGGATACAAAACATCAGACTCTGAAAGACAGTAAAGAACTGGCTTTTATTGCTAGGTTATGATTTTCCTCCAGGTGCTCTGCCAGATGAACACAATAGGTGTGAGGTGGAGTTACACAGTCTTGGGGTTAGTGCAGAGTGATTGCAAAACTCCAGATGACTTACTTGGAGGCCAGCCCAAGGAAACATGATCCAAATTCTCCACCACCCTGGTAATCTGATCTTTTTGCAAAGGTAGCTATCAGGAGGACAAGCATTAGTCCTCCCAGCTGGCATCTGGGGACCATGCTGTACCCTAAACCACTGCTTCCATACCCTTGGTGTACTCAATAAGCCAATCTTTCTATGCAGACTCTCAGTCATCCACGTCATGGTTGTCCCAAAGGTGCTTTTTTTTCAAGACTGGTATTTACAATAAAATAGCAGAGTTGGAAGGGACCTTTGAGGTCTTCTACTCCAACCCCCTGCCCAGGCAGGAAACCCTATACCATTCCAGACAAATGGCTATCCAACATCTTCTTAAAGACTTCCAGTGTTGGTGCATTCACAACTTCTGGAGGCAAGCTGTTCCACTGATTAATTGTTCTCACTGTCAGGAAATTTCTCCTCAGTTCTAAGTTGCTTCTCTCCTTGATTATTTTCCACCCATTGCTTCTTGTCCTACCCTCAGGTGCCCTGGAGAATAGTCTGACTCCCTCTTCTTTGCGGCAGCCCCTGAGATATTGGAACACTGCTATCATGTCTCCCCTGGTCCTTCTTTTCATTAAACTAGACATACCCAGTTCCTGCAACTGTTCTTCATAGGTTTTAGTCTCCAGTCCCCTAATCATCTTTGTTGCTCTCCTCGCACTCTTTCTAGAGTCTGAACATTTTTTTTATATCGTGGCAGCCAAAACTGGATGCAGTATTCCAAGTGTGGCCTTACCAAGGCATTATAAAGTGGTATTAACACTTCATGTGATCTTGATTCTATCCCTCTGTTTATGTAGCCTAGAAGTGTGTTGGCTTTTTGGCAGCTGCTGCACACTGCTGGCTCATATTTAGACCGTTGTTCACTAGGACTCCAAGATCCCTCTCACAGTTACTACTATTGAGGAAGGTACCACCTATACTGTACCTGTACATTTCGTTTTTCTTGCCTAAATGTAGAACCTTACTTTCTTTGAAGACATTTCATTTCTCATCCCAGAAGCTTCTTCAGCTCTCACTGGATGGTGGAGAATAGAAAGATTTATATTCCTTGCAGACAGCTGGTCCTTTGTATTCTTTTAGAGGGTCGTTGAGGCCACCTGGATGTCTACCTGTGTCCTCAGGGTCGCCTGACTGGTGCTCTTGGTTTCTGGTTTGGGACAGCCACGTCGTGGAGGACTGAGAATCTCTACAGACTTTTAGCTGTACAATTTGGGATGAACACCCTTGGAATGGTGTGGGAGCAGGGATGGATTTCCAGAGGAAAAATTGCAGACTACAGGAACCATTTGCAGGACTCAGGTGACCCCGAGGACACAGATAAAACTCCAAGTGCTTCAAGGACCCTCTAAAAAGATGCAAATGACCAGCTGCCTGCAAGGAGTATAAATCCTTCCATGTCCCACCGTCTGCTCAGAGCTGAAGAAGCTTCTTGGATGAGAAGCGAGACCTCTTCAAAAGAAAAACCAGAAAGTCCAGTGGCCTCTTGAGAAAAAAGAAGCACCTTTGGGATAATAAGCCAATACTTATTGAGGGAGATGGGAGCACTGCCGAAGCCATAAACCCTGTTTTCCAAAAAACATAACCCAGTGGAACCCTGGTGGTTGGTAGGTGAACCCCTATTCCTGCGGCCTGGCACCCCCACTTCGCGCGGGAGCTCCCCTCTGCTTTGCAAGCAAGGCCTGCACCCGGGTGGGGAAGGGGGACGAGGAGTCACAGCGCCAAGAGGGACCCCCTGGCGGGGCCCAGCCTCTGATGGCTGCGCGGTTGCGCCTCCGCCCGATGCCCCGGGCTGAACTGAATCGCGAAAGGAGCCCAGCAGGCTGGCGGGGTGGGGGGGGGGAAAGATCCCTCCCGTTTGGCCCCTCCCGGCGGCTGAGCGGGCGGGCCCAGCTCTCCAAACCCTCCTTCCTCGGTTCCCTTCCCGACGCCTGACGGCTGCTCGGTCCTTTCGCCACGACCGGCTGAAGCGCGCGGAGGAGCGCCGGAGAAGATCGCCTCTCGCCCCCGCCAACCCCCGACGCACCATGACGCTGAAATCCGAGCGGAGCGGGGACAGCGGCAGCATGAGGACGGCGCTCTCGGACCTCTACCTGGAGCACCTGCTGCAGAGCAAGCCCAGGGTCGAGGTGAGAGGGGAGGGGGCGTCTCGGGCAGGTGGGGGGGTGGGCGAGGGGCAGCCGAACGCACCTGGGCGCGCCTTGGGTAGGGGCGGAGGGAGACTGCTTCTCGCCAAACCAGGCCCGGTTGGGTTGAGTTGAGTTGGGTTGAGTTGGGTTGGGTTGAGTTGAGTTGGGTTGGGTTCTCCAGGGTCTTCTTGGGTCAGCCAGCGGGTAGGTTGTCCTGTTGGTTTACAGGGGGACCTCCGTTCGGGCAAGGCGCTTCAAGCCAGCCTAGATGGAGCGTGACGCGTGGTGCGGAAGTCAGCAACGGATTCGCGGGAGTGAAAAACAAGCCCCCACCTCTGGAGGAAATGTCTGGAGGGAGATTCCCCCGGCAAGGCTGGTGGGGGGGGACCTACCCCACCGATCCGTCGTCCCTGACCAACCTTCTCCGGGAGATCAGCTCGACTGGAGGTTTCATCTTCAGCCAAAATTGATCAGCTGGCTCTGGAGTCAACCGCTTCTCTGCCTTTTCCTGGGACTGGGGGCGGCGGGAAAAATGCATTTTTTTTGGGGGGGGAGGGTGAATGGTTGAACCCGGCAGGAGGAGAGGGTTTACAGGCTCTGAACCTCCGATTGCGCTTCTTGGATAATTGTATGATATTAGAGTCTTGGCCCAGAGATGGGGCTTGAGCTGTGGTAATAATTTGGCATTTCCAAATAGATGTTGGTGAAGCCTAAAATAGGCTGTGGAATTAGTTGACTTCACCATCCATGAATAAATTTTCTTTCTCAACCACAACATGATTCAACATCTAGGCAGTCTCTGTGAAAATTTCTGCCACAAAATTCCAAGGGGGGGGGAATGCTGCTTGCAGCCCAAAACCTTACTCGGGATCCTCACCTTCAACTTTAATAGGAAAGGATGGTATTATTTGGGGGAGATGACCATCATTCTCCAGTTTCCACCCCCAATGCAGGGATGAAATTCAGCAGGTTCTGACCGGTTCTGGAGAACTGGTAGCAGAAATTTTGAGTAGTTTGGAGAACTGTCAAATACCACCTCTGGACGGCCCCAGAGTGGGGAGGGAATGGGGATCTTGCAATATCCTTCCCCCCAGGAGTGGGGAGGGAAATGAGGATTTTGCAGTATCCTTCCCCCCCCCCCAGGAGTGGGGAGGGAAATGAGGGTTTTGCAGTATCCTTCCCCTAGAGTGGGGAGAGAATGAAGATTTTGCAATCTCCTTCCCCCCAGGAGTGGGGAGGGAAATGAGGATTTTGCAGTATCCTTCCCCTAGAGTGGGGAGAGAATGAAGATTTTGCAATCCCCTTACCCCGCAGGAGTGGGGAGGGAATGGGGATTTTGCAGTATCCTTCCCCTAGAGTGGGGAAGGAAATGAGGATTTTGCAGTATCCGTCCCCTAGAGTGGGGAGGGAATGGGGATTTTGCAGTATCCTTCCCCTGCCACACCCCACCAAGCCATGCCCACAGAACTGGTAGTAAAAAAAAATGTGAATATCCCCACTTCCCCAATTGTTCTGTCTGGGCAAGGTCCCTTTCCAAACTCTGTTATTTATTTTACGAGGTCATCCAGAAAGCTCATTGCTCAGCAGCAAGACACCAAAATCAAATGAAGGGACCTATTGGGTGGAGAGATCTTAGGCAGATTGAACCTCTGGCCAGATGTCTTTTTCCAGCCAGTTACTGGGACCACCCCAGGTTGAGGGGAGGGGGAAAGGTGATCTGGTTTGCTATGTCCGATTGAAAGTGGGTAGGAGGAAAATTCCCCCCAACTTCTCCCAAAAGTAGAAATTGGTAGCAGTCGAAATCTGGATAGACTTCGAAGGACTTGCATTCTGTGGGAAAGGTGAGCCCTGCAAAAATATAGTGTTTATGTGCAGAATGCAGACTTTCTGTTGTAGCCAGACAGGTAGACAATGACAACGGCATGTCCCACTTCCACCGCTCTGACATCCAACCTTCCACAAACAGGGTTCTCTTGACCTTTGGCCTTCTTTTATGGTCTGATACTCCCCTCCCCCTTGCCCCATGCAAAGATTATCATGAAGGACAGGAGATGTGAAAACTGCCAGCCTACTGTAGTACATGCAACCTCACAGTGGAAATGCACGATGCACTTCGTAACCCCTGGTTTGGGTTGCACGCACTGCTGTTTCCTGTACCTTTACCTTGGCTGGGCTTAAAACAATTGTAGAAAATGTGCTACGCCAGGGGTCAGCAACCCACGGCTCTGGAGCCGCATGTGGCTCTTTCATCCCTCTGCTGCGGCTCCCTCTTGCTCAAAATATACGTCAATGTGCGGCACCTGCTGGAACGTGATTTCTTGAGCTTTTCAACCCCCGGTAGGCCAACCATGGTTAGATCCAAGAGAAGAAAACTTTCAGAAGAAAAGAGAATGTTTAATTCAACTACATATCCTAGTTTTGTGGCGGATTAGGAAATAGTCAGGCGTGGGAAGGATTTTGTGGCTCCCAGTGTTTTCTTTTCTGCGGGAAACAGGTCCAAATGGTTCTTTGAGTATTTAAGGTTGTTGACCTCCCATACTGTATTCCACTCTACCCCAGTGGTGAAATTATGTCCTTGTAGATGCTGGATTTCTGCTTCTTTTTGTTTCGATTGCACTCAATGTTCCTTCATGGGGGATTGATCTCCTTATATCCTAATCAGCGTTTCTCAACCTTGGCAACATTAAGATGTGTGGACTTCAACCCCCAGAATCCCTGAGCCAGCCACACAGGTAGTCCTCGACTTACGGCCACAATGGAGTCCAGGCTTTCCGTTGCTAAGGGAGACCGTTGCTTTGAGTGACTTTTTTCCTCCGTTTGACAGCCCTTTTTGCCACCGTTGTTAAGGGAAGCACTGCAGTTGTTCCGTTACTGAATGCATCGGGCTTCCCCTGTGACTGTGACCCCGGGATACTGCAGCCGTCATATATATGAGTCAGTTGACGGGACGTCTGGATTTTGATCACGTGACCACGGGGATGGTCGTAAGTGTGGAAAAACGGTCCTAAGTCACTTTTTTCAAGGCCGCTGTAACTTTAGTCACTAAATGAACTGTCGTAAGTCAAGGACTACCTGTGCTGCGAGTTGAACATCTTAAGGTAGTAGCCAAGGCTAAGAAATAGTGGCCTTGACCGAGATGAAGGCTGTCCCCAAAGGTGGCTCGTATGGGACACTCAGGTGCCTTGAAGAATAGTTTGACTCCCTCCACAAAGAAGAGGGAGTCAAACTATTCTCCAAGGCACCTGATTGTAGAACAAGAAGCAATGG